AAGGCCTGGTGACCTGCTTCCGAAAGGTCAGAGCATGAAAACCCTCTGGAGTGCAGTTCTGCTCTGAAATGCATGGGGTTGCTATGAGTCAGAACTGACTCCACAGAAACTTGTTTGGTTTGGTAACAAAAGACCAACTGAAATTTATTGGTTAACCTAATTGGGGAATCCAAAAAGCAGAGCAAATTCTATTTCTATATAGGGACTAGACTTCTCTTTTTTATTTTTGTTTTCCTGGCCTCTCCCTGACTTCATCTTCAGACAGGTTATCTCCATGTGGTGGCATTTCTTACAGTTCCAGGTTTGCAGACTCGTTAGAGTTTATAAATCAAGTTTTTCCAAATTTTATGGAAAAATTATTCTTGAGCCCACCTGGATGGTCAACGGGGGTAGGGAGATAGAGTTCCATGATTAGCAAGGCCTGGTCACACTCACACTCACTATTAACACCAACATCATGTAGGCTAAAAACAAACCAACCAGCCCAGTTCTGTTTTAGTCCAATTCTGACTCATAGTAACCCCATGTGGAGTCAAGGAAGGGCATTTTTGTTCCTACAAAAAATAGAGGGTTATTGGGGAAAGAAAACAACAGATGCATATTCAAATAATTTGTTGAAACCCAGGTTATATTTAGATAGCTCATCTGGGTTAATATGTTGACTCAAACTAATTATTTTTATAAGAACAGAATGTCCAACATCTGACCTTTTTCTCAAACTTCAGAAAGTTTTTCCCCTGAAAACCTAAAACAAAGATTCTTTTGGTATTTCAAGAGTTTCTTACTAAAAAAAAGGTCCTGAAGCAAATACATTGTATGGTGGTGTGTAGATGTGCCTGAAGATGGGTCATACACCTATAGATTTAACTCCAATAAAAGACAAATGCTAGATGTTAAAATTACAATGACAGTGAAAGTCGGAAATAATAGTAGAGAGTCTACAAAATAGAAGGAAAACAAAAGCAACATAGTCAAGACAGTATTTGAAATGCCAAATTTGGGAGGACTCATGGAAAACCTTTGCCAAGGCAAAAAAGAAAGGAACCTAACATTTGAATAGTTATTGTGTCTAAAACATTGTTCTAGATGCTTTTATTTATATCACTTAACACAGACTAGTTATAATTTCCAATGTAAAGATATAGAAAGTGGAACTTAGAAAGATTAATTCACCCAAAATCCATTTTAGCTGAAGTCTATCTGAAGCCCCATTCTCTTTCCAGTTCTAAGCTGCCTCCTGGAAAAGGATAGACAATTTAAATAAAGGAAGGCCTATATAATATCTAAGGAGCTCTGGTGGTGCTGAAGTTAAGGCATTTGGCTGCTAACCAGGTCAGTGGTTCAAACCCAACAGTGCTCTATGGGAGAAAAATGAGGCCCTCTGCTTCCATAAACATTTACAGTCTTGGAAACCCTATGGGGCAGCTCTACTTCGTCCTATAGGTTTGCTATAAGTCAGAATCAGCTTGATGGCAGTGGGTTTGGATTTTGGTTTTATGTCATTTCTAGGAGCCCTGGAGGCTCAAATGGTTAAGCACTGGGCTGCAAACCTAAAGGTTGGCAGTTTGAACCTGCCCAGTGGCTCCACGGGACAAAAGACCTGGCAACTGTCTCCTGTAAAGATTATTGTTGTTGTTGTTGTTATGTGCCATCGAGTCAGACCCAACCATAGCGACCCCTCCTTGGGTTTCCGAGGCCATATCACTATGGAAGTAGATTGCCCCATCTTCCTTCCGAGGAGTGGCTGGTGGGTTTGAACTGCCAGCCTTCTGGTAGGCAGTCAAGGGCCTTAGGCACTACGCCATCAGAGCTCCTCCTGTAAAGATTACAGCCTAAGAATTCTTATTGGGCAGTTCTACTCTGCCATATCCTGCAGCATCAGGATTGGAAGAAAACTAATTAACAATCTGCAAAATACAAATGACACAACTTTGCTTGCTGAAAGTGAAGATGTGAAGCACTTATTCATGAAGATCAAAGACTATGCCTTCAGTATTGATTACACCTTGACGTAAAGAAAACAAAAATCCTTGTAACTGGACCAATAAGCAACACTATGGTTGTAGTAAATGGAGAAAATAATGAAGATGCCAAGGATATCAATTTACTTGGATCCACAATCAATGCCCATGGAAGCAGCAGTCAAGAAACCAAATGATGCATTGCATTGGGCAAACCTGCTACAGCAGACCTATTTAAAGTGTTAAAAAACAAAGATGTCACCTTGAGGACTAAAGTGCATCTGACCCACCAAAAAAAAAAAAAACCAAACTCATTGCTGTTGAGTCTGATCCAAGTCATAGTGACCCCTCCTTGGGTTTCCAAGGTGGTGTCTCTATGGAAGTAGATTGCCCAATCTTCCTTCCAAGGAATGGCTGGTGGGTTTGAACCACCAGCCTTTTGGTTAGCAGTCAAATGACTTAGGCGCTACGCCACCAGAGCTTCCGCACCTGACCCAAGCCACGATATTTTCAACTGCTTCATAGGCATGTGAAATGTCATTTCAATAAAGTGACTTCTTCCTGCAACTACCCCTATTAAAATAGCATCCCATTCCCAGATAGCACTGAACTTGAAATTGTTTGTCTCCTCTGAAGAGAAGATAAATTTCTTAAAGGCAAGGATTTTGCTCTCCCCATTTCTCCTGCATCAGAATTATTCTTGAGACACAGTAGGCTCTCTATAAATAGTTACTGATAATATGCATTGCAAGAGGTACAAGTTGAGACCACAATATAAGACTGGTAGAAAAAAACACGTGAGAAGAGATAAAAGAAGCATAATCAAGGCTGTGTAGAAGTTAGTGTTAGCTACCTCCAAAGTAAAAGGAAATAAAATAATAATACGCAAATAATTGAAATAGCACTTACTCCCAGCCAGGCCTTGTTCTAAGAATTTCACATATGTTGTTGTTGAGTGTGGTTGCGGTCGAGTCCATTCCAACTCAAATCTGTTGCTATTGAGTGGCTTCTGACTGGTAGGGACCCTATAGGACAATGTAGAACTGCTCTCTAAGGTTCCCGAGGCTGTAATCTTTATGGAAATAGACAACCAACTTTTTGGTTAGTGGCCAAGTGCTTAACCCACTGTGTCACCAGGGTTCCTAATTTTACATACAATAACTAGGTTTTTTTTTTTTTGCCACTATCCGTTTCTCAGTTTGTTGTGTTGTGGTGGCCTGCATGTTGCTGTGATGCTGCACACAATGCCACTGTTTTCTTAAATACCAGCAGGGTCACCCACAATGGTGGACAGGTTTCAGTGGAGCTTCCAGACCAACACAGATTTGGAAGAAAGACCTGTCAATCAACTACCAAAAAGTAGCCACTGAAAAACTTACAGGTCACTAGAGAACATTGCTCAACTCATTCGCTTGAACATATCATCAGGAGGGAACAAATTACTCGGAAAGGGCATTGTGTTTGGTGAATGTGAATGGCCTATGAGAGTAAGGAAGACTTGGTGAGAGGCTTGACACAGTAGCTGCAATAGAACTCAAATATGCCCCCAATAGTGAGGATGACCCAGAACCCAGCAGCTTCTCCTCCTGTAAGCAGGGTTGCCATGAGTTGGAGTCAATTCCATGGCAGCAACCTACCCACCCTCCCTAATTTGCTTTTATCGCTCTCAATAAATAGATTCATTACCCCTAATTTGTAGATAAGGAAAGTGAGGCACATAAGTTAAGTAAGTTACTCACTGTCACAGCATTAGTAGCAGAACCAGAATTTTAACCCCAAACCAAATAAACTAAACACACTGCCAAGCAGTCAATTTCAACTTATAGCTACCCCCATTGGGTTTCTGAGGCTGTAAATCTTTATGGAAGTAGATTGTCCCATTTTCCTTCTGCCGAGTGGCTGTTGTTGTTGTTGTTATGCACCCTCCAGTTGGCCCCAACTCATAGTGACCCCTTCCTTGGGTTTCCAAGGTGGTATCACTATGGAAGTAGATTACCCAACCTTCCTTCCGAGGGGCGGCTGGTGGGTTTGAACCACCAGCCTTCTGGTTGGCAGTCAAGTGCCCTAGACACTATGCTAGAGCTTCTAGTGAGTTTAAACACCTGACCTTCCGGTTAGCAGCCAAATGCCTTATCCACTAAGCCACCAGAGCTTAACCCAGAATATTAACCCAGGGGGTTTGGAATTCCTGCCTTTTACCACTTCATTGTTTTTGTTGTTAAGCACGGAGCAGTGGGCTCAGACTCATGGCTGGCTACTCCGTGTACAACAGAAGGAAACACTGCCCGGTCTTGATGTTGTTGTTGTTGTTGTTATGTGCCCTCGAGTCGGCCCCAACTCATAGCGACCCCTCCTTGGGTTTCCGAGGCAGTATCACTACGGAAGTAGGATTGCCCAACCTTCCTTCCGAGGAGTGGCTGGTGGGTTTGAACCACCAGCCTTCTGGTTAGCAGTCAAATGCCTTAGGCACTAAACCAACAGAGCTCCCTTTCCTCCTTGTTGTTGTTATGTGCCCTCCAGTCGGACCGACTCATGGCGACCCCTCCTTGGGTTTCCGAGGCAGTATCACTACGGCAGTAGATTGCCCCATCTTCCTTCCGAGGAGTGGCTAGTGGGTTTGAACCGTAGACGTTTATAATAAAAGAAGTAGAAAGATTCTCCTCTTACAGAAATACATCTCTCCCTAAGCCACTTTGGACAGCTCTAGTGGCATAGTGCCTGAGGTATATGACTGCTAACCAGAGGGCTAGCAGTTCAAACTCTCAGCCACTCCCCGAAGGAAGACTGGGCAATTGACTTCCGTAGAGATACCGCCTCGGAAACCCAAGGAATCGTCGCTATGAGTCGAATCCACTCGGCGGCAGTATTATTTTTTTAAGTCACTTTGCTTTTCCCAGTTCACTTTGCCTGCCCGTACCTTGCCTTGAGCCTGCGCACTGGTGATGTCTTGCTCGTTTGTTTTCCCACTACCAGCCGCAGCGCCTTGATGACGTAAATTTCCAGCGCCGCAGAGAGCTGGGCGCGTGTAAAAAGGAGCTGTTTCCACTTTCTACGGGATACAGGTGCCTGTGCGGCCTGAAAGCCGCCACACCATGAAGGAAACGCCGCTTTCAAACTGCGAGCGCCGGTTCCTGCTTCGCGCCATTGAAGAGAAGAAGGTAAGAGGTCTCCAAAGAACTGCGCGCTGTGTGGGCGTCTTGGTTCCGCGGTCCACCTCAGGCTTCCTGGTTAGGAGCGCAGACCTGACCGAAGCTGGCCCAGAAGCCCCCTGGGGAAATGGCCAATGAGTTCCCCCCACCCCGAGACGTTTTTCTACCCGGACCATTTCTTTACGAAACTCCTGTCACCCTAGCGACTGTCAGTGACCGGACTTCTCTATGGGGGTGGAGTAGTGAAGATTCCACTTTTCATCCAGATGCTTAGATCAGACCCTGTGATGTAGTAGTTGATCGGTAAATCCCCGTTCAAGGAATAAATGAATGGATGTTGTGTTTACAGCGGTTGGATGGAAGACAAACCTACGATTATAGGACCATCAAGATCTCATTTGGGACAGATTATGGCTGCTGTATTGTGGAACTTGGAAAAACAAGGTAACAAAGAATTCGTATTAGATGTAAGTTCAGTGGAGAACGGTTTGAAAAGAACCTTGATTCAGTTGTTTACAGAGTAGTTGGGAAGTTCGGACAATACATTGTTAGATGCCAAAAGAAATGTATTTTCTTTAACGCAAGATTTTTAGGTTTTATAGTCACTTTTTATTTTTTAATTATGAATGTATTTTCTGCTGTATGAGTGTCACATCGTTCTTTCTGACCATTTTAAGTTATATAGACATCTACTGAAATACCCTGAATTTGTTTTGGGCACTGCAGTGCCCACCTCTTTTCACATTATATAATGTGAGGATTGTAGAGCTCCTGAGCGTTTTGTCCATAAGTTGGTCCCATTTTCCTCACATGATACGAAAATTAGGCTTTTATGTTGATTTGGAAGCTGTGGGTATATCTGGTCTAATAATATTAGCAAACTGTGCCATATGCAAATATTAAGGAATCTCAAGTTTTCAAGCTCCTTTGAACTAGAAAGGAGAAATAAAAGGTAATTGTTTTTTATAAAAGTTTAAAAAATCTATAGAATAGTGACTATTGTAATATGAAGAGGGTGTTTTTTATTGTTATCTCAATAAGTGCTTTATTTTTGCTTATATTGTACTATACTTGATATGTAATTTTTACCTTATGTGATTCATCATGTCGAGCACATTATTAGTCGAGATGAAAATTTACTTGTTATCTCTTTTAGAATTTTTTTTTTTTAATTAGAAAGGAAATACATTTATTTAACACGATTGTACTCTTTATCTTTGCAGAGTTCTTGGACAGGTTTCCTGTGAACTTGTTTCTCCAAAACTCAATAGGGCAACAGAAGGTATTCTTTTTTTTAACCTTGAACTGTCTCAGATGGCTGCCCCAGCTTTTGAACCCGGCAGGTATTAAAATCTTTTTCTTCAACTGTTTTACTAGAGGGAAACCTAACAAGAGTGAGGTATTGTTTTAATGCTTGGCATTGTATTCCATGACATTCGTCCATTCCTGTTTTCATAGGCAGTCAGATCTCTTGGTGAAGTTGAACCGTCTCTTGGAAAGATGTTTAAGAAATTCAAAGTGTATAGACACTGAATCTCTCTGTGTTGTTGCTGGTGAAAAGGTAACATGCCTAAATTCTTAATTTTAGGATGAATATTGTTGATTCATGTGACCTTGTATCTTTACTTTCATTTTCAGAGCTTTAGTTAATTCAGTTTTCTACTGGGTCACCTTATTGCAAGTGTTCCTTATTGCAAGTTTTCCAGTGAGCCTTTTGTAATCTCTTTCTAAGGGACAAAATCATCTTTAAATGGCAAATGTTTCATTCACAGAATTTGTGGCTTTTTCATTCTTTTCACCTTATTTTCTTATGTTATTTAAGGGCATTGATAAAAGCAGATAGTGTTTTCCATTTTCAGGGATGGAGAATGGATAAAATCCTTCATTTGGATACATTTATTGACTTACACTGTACCATACAATGAGTCAATGGTAGGACAGAGGCTAGAAATCCTAGTCTCAATAAATTGTGCTGCATGTGATACTAGACTTTTATTCTTGATTAGGGTATTTTTGACCAGCTTTTGACTTCAGAGAATGCACTTAGCCTTTTTCATCCTTATTCCATACTTGGATATGGTATTTCCATCTATTTGCATTATTTGTAAGGTTATCAGAAATAGTATTAAACAAAACTTAACAATTTGAGATTTTATACTTAGGAGACACCATAAAAAGATACAGAATTTGGAAAATCTTAGCTTACAAATAGAGTGATTCTCTTTATTTAAACTATGTATTTAAGGTTGTGTGACTCATAGAAAGATGAGCTATTAGTATTTCAGATGAATACTGGCTTAATACTTTTTAAAATATATTTTTATTGATAAAATAGCATGAATAACAGAGAAAAAATTGCACAGAGTGTTATGTTTCCTGATAAGTAGGAGCTGGTTGTGATCAGTTAGGATTTTAAATTTATTTTTAGGTTTGGCAAATACGTGTGGACCTACATTTATTAAATCATGATGGAAATATTATTGATGCTGCCAGCATTGCTGCAATTGTGGCCTTATGTCACTTCCGAAGACCTGATGTGTCAGTCCAAGGAGATGAAGTAACACTGGTAAGCTCCCATGATGTGAGCCAGGCTCCTTCATATGAATGAATGAGTATCCTGAATGTGCAGGCATCTACTGTTAGTGAAGTCATATCTTAGATGGCAATTAGGTTCTAAAATTTGTTCATAAGGCAGAAACTGCATATGGTCAAAATTGACCCTTGGAATCTTCTAAATTTCCTGTGTTGAGATGTCTGTCAGTAAAAGCAGCACCACCTAGCCAGGTGTTCCATAATAAAACTAGGTGGATAATTCTTTGAATTGAGCATTAAATGAAGTAGTTGGCTTCCATTGAAAAATGTAGTTTCGAGCCCAGTGAGATGCTTCACTTACAAGAAAAAAACAAACCAAACTCATTGCTGTCTAGTCAGATCTGACTCAGAAATCAGCAGTCACATCTCTACGTGACTTTTCTTTATTAAGTGGAGTATATGGCAAGAGTGGTCCCCAGAATAGGCCTGTTACAGAGTTTCTAGGGAATGGTGATACTGCTGGTCCAGGGACCACATTTTGTAAACCATTGACCTTCATGTAAGTTACATTGTAGCATAATGAAAGTTTACCATAATGGTAGTTTGAGTTTTAAAGTTGTAAAAGGAAACTTCAGATGCTCAGATTCTCTAAGCAATCATTCATAATGCTGCTTGTAGGCATTAGACTGGAGCAAATTCTATAAAGACTTAGAGAGGTAGGGCAAAATGTTTATTAACAGTAGAGATGTGTTCTTTTAAGGGAGGTAGTTGGTATAAGGAAGAAGAAAGACCAATTAGGAAACTGATAAGAATATAAAATAGTAAGGCATTTGACTGCTAACCAAAAGGCCGGTGGTTCAAACCTACCAGCTACTTAGAAGGAAGACTGGGCAATCTATTTCTATAGAGATACCACCTCAGAAACCCAAGGAGGGGTCACTATGAGTCAAATTCGACTTGACAGCATTGTGTTTGAGTTTTTTTTGACAGTTATGTTGGAAATCTTTTTCAGTTTCTTAAAAAAGTTAAATGTAAACTTACCTTACAGCCCAGCAGTTCCATGCCTAAGAATCTACCCAAGAGGAATGAATGCTTATGTTCACTCAAAGACTTGTATGGGAATGTGTATAGCAGTATAGGTCATAATAGCCAAAAACTGGAGATAATCACATCTGTCAAATGGTAAATGGATACGTATGTGGAATATCCACACAATAGAATACTATTTAAAAGAGTCCCAACTACTGATACGTAGTACACCCCATTGCCATTGGGTTGATTCTCATGCATAGTGACTCTAGGACAGAGAACTGCCCAATAGGGTTTCCAAAGCTGCTATCTTTACGGAAGCAGACTGCCACATCTTTCTTTGGTAGAAGGGGCTGGTGGGTTTGAATGGCTGACCTTTTGGTGAGCAGCAGAGTGCTTAACCAGTGCACCACCAGGGCTGCTTGATATATGATGTAAAATGGATGAAAGCTTATGCTTCATGAAAGAAGCCAAATGCAAAAGAGTATAGACTATTTGATTCCATATATTAAAAAATGCCCAGGAAAGAGATTTATAGAGATAAAAAGCAGGTAAGTGGTAACTTTGTGGGGCTAGAGGTCAAGGAGGATTGACTGCCAACAGGCTCAAGGGAATTTTCTGGAGTAAAGAAAATGTTGAAAAATTAGATTGTGGTGATGACCACAACTCTTATAAGTTTACTAAAATTGAACTCTATACTGAAAGTGAATAGATTTTATGATATGTAAATTATGCATCAGTAAAGCTGTTGAAAATGCCAAAAAGTTTTGCAGAACCTGAGTGACAAAGTCCAACAAGTAATATAAAAGAAGTGTTCCCTGAGGATTAAGGATATTTTATTTTTTATTTTAATGTTTGATAATGTAAGATGAGTATTTTTGTATGTTTGTAACAGAGTCATTTGTAATTCTTGAACGTTTTCTTTGGAAATAGTACACACCTGAAGAGCGTGATCCTGTACCATTAAGTATCCACCACATGCCCATTTGTGTCAGTTTTGCCTTCTTCCAGCAAGGGTGAGTCTTGCCTTGTGGGCAGCTAGAGGTTTTTTGCTCTATTCAAATTTTTCATGGATAAATGAACACCGTGTCCCCTTTTTAATATTAAAGAATTTTATTGTTCCTTTTCTTTGTTTTTAAGGGCATTAGTTGGCAGAATTTTCTCCACAGAAGTGACAAACTGTTCAACAACAAAGATGCTTCCCATTGTTTTTCTTTTCATGACATACTTAGAAACTTAAGAATTTTCTGTGGCATCATAGTGTCTTAGCTTTCCTAAGGATATACAGATGTTAAGAGAAAGTGGAATAAGTATTATGGATTAATAGAAGACAGGACAACAGAGCACATTAAATTGATTAGTTGTAGGAGAAAGCCACAAGGGAAAATGGTTTATAAGCCAGGATAAGAAAATTACTTTTCCTTCAGCTGTTTAGTGGTTTCTTCAAAACTCACTGTTAACTCCTTATACAGCAGGAAACCAGGGGTCTTTTAGGTCATGTAACGGACAGAAGCTTGAGTCTTAAATCTGTTTTAAAACAAACCCATTATTGTTGAGTCAGTTCCAACTCCAAACACAGGGAGGTATTTTAACAATTTGTGACTAAGGACTAGAGAAAAACTTTTCAATATTTAGTCATTGTAGTGTAGAATTTTCATTGGAAGGAAATAGCGCTGTCCAATAGAAATTTAATGAGTGCCATATATGCATTTTTAAATTTCCCAGTAGCCACATTAAAAAGTAAAAGGAAACGGGTGAAAATAATTTTGATATATTTTATTTAATCTAGTATTTCTAAAGTATTACTTTAATATGTAATAAGTACTTTAAAAAATTATTCATGGGTATTTTACATTCTTTTATTTCCACTACACCTTTAAAATCCAGGGTCTATCTTACAGTCCACCTCAATTTGGCCTAGTCACATTTTAAGGTCTCAGTACCCATGTACGACTGACTGTTGTTGTTATGTGCCATCGAGTCAAACCCAACTCATAGCAACCCCTCCTTGGGTTTCCGAGGCAGTATTACTATGGAAGTAGGATTGCCCAACCTTCCTTCCGAGGAGTAGCTGGTGGGTTTGAACCACCAGCCGTCTGGTTAGCAGGCAAGTGTCTTAGCCACTATGCTACCAGAGCTCCCGTATGACTGACTAGTGGCTAATATATTGGGCAGCACAGAAATACACAGCATTAACAAAACAAATGTGAACTTAATGTGATTTCACTGTAATAGTTAAGGGAGAGCCCTTTGGAATTCATTTTGTTTTCATAGAAACAATAGTTGGTCTCTTTCCTTATTGGAGTAAAACCAGAGTTAAATCCTGAACTGTGTTGACTGTTTATGCCATCTTTTAAAAAACCTCCATTATCCTAGAAATGACAAACATTCAGCCTTCCAGATTTTTTCATTTTAACATTCATTTCAGAACATATTTATTGGTGGATCCCAATGAGCGTGAAGAACGTGTAATGGATGGCTTGCTGGTGATTGCCATGAACAAGCATCGAGAGATTTGTACTATCCAGTCCAGTGGTGGGATAATGCTACTGAAAGACCAAGTTAGTGCTTTGATTAATGTGTAATTAAGAATAAGTTTCTTCTCTTAGAACTTTAGTTCTGACTAAAATCCAAGAAGGATATTTGAAATGATTAGTTCTAGGATATGTTAGAATCTCGTTTCAGTATAACCACTGCCTGCTGTTGACTGGTGGTTAGGAGGTATCCTCCTTTCTCCCTTAACCACTCTCATATCTGGCCCTCTAGTTACTTTACCCTTCAGGATAGAAGAGCAGTTTTTCTTCCCAGTAAAGAAAGAGATTCATGTACCTGCTGATAAATACTGGTCAGAAAATTGAAATTAGGTAAAGAGATGGTTTTCCCCTTAGAATTGAGGTACAATAACTAGTCATTCTCAAATCCAGCTATATACCAGCTTCACATGGAAGCTTTTAAAAAACAGATTGGCAAATAGCATATAGAGTAGGTGGTTAAGAGAACAGACTGCTTTAGCTCAAATTCCATTTCTGCCTTGTACTAGCTGAATTTGGACAAATGCTTTAATATCTTTAGTTCTTTATCTGTAAAATTGCACGTTTTTAGAAAAATATAAAGATGGATAGATAATATAGCACACAGTGTCAAATATATATTAAGTGCTCAATAAATATTAGGTGCCATTATCATTACCAGCATCAAGGCCACTAACCAGATGCCTAGTTCCAGAGATTCAGATCATAGGTCCCTGAGGTCTGGGGATCTTTTTGTTTTATAAAAGCTTCCAAGGGAACACTATGCAGCCATATCTTAAACTAATAGTGTAGATTACTAACAGAGAAAGGTAGTGCATCCCAGAGCAAATATTTCTATGGCTTCTTCAGTGGTGTCTTTCATATTCTCCTATCAGAAGTTTTCAGATCTGCTCCCTTAACATGATAGTCATTCAAATATTTTAAAACACTTGTCACATCTTGCCTTAGCTTTTTACATTGTATTTATATTTGAAAAGTCAGGTTTAAATAAATTATAAAGGTAGAAAAATTAATCTCTTAGATAAGAAATTCTTGTTTTTATATTGTTTAGAGGCCCCTTGGTTTGTTGCCTTTAAATAATAGTTTACTTTTATAACTAGGTTTTGAGATGTAGTAAAATAGCTGGTGTGAAAGTAGCAGAAATTACAGAACTAATACAGAGAGCTTTGGAGAATGACCAGAAAGTGAGGTAAGATTTTTTCAGAACTAAATGATCTTTTAATAGTTGTTTTCCATTAAGGGCTTTTCTTTCACAGAGGCTACCATTATATTTTTTATACTTGGATCTTCCCTTATTTGTACTCTCAGGTGGATATGCTACTTCTTGTTGTTGTTATGTGCCATCAAGTTGGCCCCAACTCATAGAGACCCCTCCTTGGGTTGCCGAGGCAGTATTGCCACGGAAGTATATTGCCCAACCTTCATTCTGAGGAGTGGCTGGTGGGTTTGAACCACCAGCCTTCTGGTTAGCAGTCAAGTGCCTTAGGCACTATGTTACCAGAGCTCCTGATATGCCACTTAGTATGTTTTTTAAGTTGATTGAGCTCTGCTTAATAAAATCAATTTTATTTCAGTTTAAACATGACCTATACTGAAAATAAGATTTTTCTTTCAAAATTAACATTTTCATAGGTAAAAGAATCTAATGGAAGGAACACAAATTGGAGTTGTCATCTTTACCTTTCACTGTGTGATCTTAAGATACATCAGTGTCCTGTTTTATAATATGGGAAGTTAATACCTACTTGATAAGCCTGATTTGCAGATTAGATAATAATGTACTTTTAGCACCTCGCATGTGCCAGGTTCAATAGATGGTAGACAGTTCCTTGACAGGCATAGTTAAATTACTCAAATAAACCATCTCTGTTTCAGTATTTCTTATCCAAGGATAAAATAATAACTCTTTTTTTTTTCCTCCCTGTCTTCTCTCACCTCTAACCCTTCCTTCCAAAAAACAAACACCCACATGCAGGAAAGAAGGTGGAAAGTTTGGCTTTGCAGAATCTATAGCAAATCAGAGGATCACAGCATTTAAAATGGAAAAGGCCCCCATTGATACCTCCAATGTAGCGGAGAAAGCAGAAGAAATCATTGCTGAAGCTGAACCTCCTTCAGAAGTGTATCTTAATTGGGTGGATTTTGCAATGAAAACAAAAAGACATTTTTTTCATAACACATTTTATGGGTTCTTTATAAAGATAGATTAGATAGGCAGTGCACATACGTAACTCAGTCTCCTTTTGGGAGTAAATAAGACTGTGAAGGGTTTGCATACTGAAATTTGTTTTCTGAAAGAATTATTTATCTTACTTGTTAGAGAACTAGTGAGAACATTTAAGATACAATGCAAGATAGTTATTTGAGTCATGAGTCATACTGAGGTGATGGAGCACCCAGCTTTAGTTCTACAAACACCAGAAAATTCTATATTTTAAGAAACAAATTATAGCATTTCATTTTCCTTTGGAAAATTGTTTTATAACATTGATGGCATGGTCAAGCACTTTATGCACCCTTAAACATTATTCTTTAATTTATTCATCCATTCATGAAATTACAATGACTAAAATGTAGAGAGCCATTCTGTCTCTTGCTATTTCTTACTATTATAAAAATTTTTCCTGAGTTTTAGATTTTACATTTCTTTCTTCACTGTCCAGCCATTCATAGTAAACAAACAAACAAAAAACCAACTCACTGCCATCAAGTTGATTCTGACTCATAGCAACTTCCATTGGGTTTCCAAGGTGGTAAATCTTTACAAAAGGAGATTGCCTCATCTTCCTTCTGTGGAGTGGCTCGGGGGTTTGAATTACCAGCCTCTTGGTTAGCAGTCACATGCCTTAGGCAATGTACCACCAAAGCTCCTTAGAACAGCTATTAGTGAAAATTTTTCCAAGCATTTGAGGCACACTTGAATCAGTCTCAAAACTCATTTTTCTAACAGTGCATCCAATAAAAAATTAAAACCCAAATCCACTGCCGTCGAGTCGGAGTTGACGCATAGCGACCCCTCCTTGGGTTTCCGAGGCAGTATCTCTACAGAAGTAGATTGTCCAGTCTTCCTTCCGAGGAGTGGCTGGTGGGTTTGAACCACCAGCCTTCTGGTTAGCAGTCAGATGCCTTAGGCATTACGCCACCAGTGCATCCAATAGCAGTTGTCATTTTCGCTGTTTGTTTTCTTAACTTGTTAAGTGTCTCTAATCCTGTGTTATGGACTCCTGGAACTGCTCAGATTGGAGAAGGCATAGAAAACTCCTGGGGTGATCTTGAAGACTCTGAGAAGGAAGAAGAGGAGGAAGGTGGCAGCGATGAAGCTATCATTCTTGATAGTATAAAAATGGACACTGGAGTAGAAATCTCCAATATTGGAAGCCAAGGTGGGTGACATTTTATGGGAGCTCTGGTAGCATAGTGGCTAAGTCACTTGCCTGCTAACCAGACGGCTGGCGGTTCAAACCCACCAGCCACTCCTCGGAAGGAAGGTTGGGCAATCCTACTTCCGTAGTGATACTGCCTCAAAAACCCAAGGAGGGGTCGCTATGAGTCGGGGCGACTCGATGGCACATAACAACAACAACAACTATAAAGATAGATTAGATAGGCAGTGCATATACATAGATCAATCTCCTTTTTGGAGTAGTTAAATATTTTGTGATGCAAATTTCAACTAAACTTTTGAGGCTTCCTGCAATATTAACTCCCTATTCTTTTCTAGGATAGCATGCTCTCTCTGTGGAGATGTGGTACACTTTGATATTTAAATGCTACTGGCATTTTACATTTTTGTTTTTATACCTAACAAATGGGCCAGTTTAAGTGGACTTGTTTTGTAAAGGGCTCATTCCTGCATTTTGCCTTTTCTTTGTAGTTTCTAGGCTCAAACATAAAAAACCCAAAGTGTAACTTGTTATGTGCTGTCGAGCCGGACCCGACTCATAGCAACCCCTCCTTGGGTTTCCGAGGCCGTATCACTACAGAAGTAGATTGCCCCATCTTCCTTCCAAGGAGTGGCTGGTGGGTTTGAACCGCCAGCCTTCTGGTTAGCAGTCAAGTGCCTTAGGTACTAGTGGTATTCAGTAGAACATTCAGAGATGATAGAAATGTTCTCTATCTGTACTATCCAATACAGGAGCCACTAGGCACATGAGACATTGAGCAGTTGATACGTGTCTTGTGCGACTGAGGAATTTTAAGTTTTGTTTATTCTTAAATAGTCTGCCGGCTTATCTATTGGACAGTGCAATGTTAAAACAAAAAATTCTAGAAGAGTCTAGAATGCTGGTAGTCCTAAATGTTCCTTGTATTCTAAAAGCCATGGAACTGGAGAGATTGTTCATTTATCTGTGGATATTTTTAAGAAAACCAAATTATTTCCTGCCCCGTATAATAATGAATTGCTTTTTATGTAGCAAAAGCAAATCATACAAGAATCTAGGCTGACAGGGAACTAGAGGATGCTAACCAAATTCAATTTGTTGAGAAAACAAGATGATAGTGGTTAGGTATGTAATGTATATACCTGCCTTTTAAGGGAAGGAACTTATTACCTATAAACATTACTGAGAACCTACTATTTTGAATTACTCAAAAATAGGTAAAACAAAACAAAACAAAACAAAAAACAACTTCCCACTGATTAGGATCTTTATTCAGTTTTCCTGGTGGTTACTTCTGTTAATTTGGTATTACTCTACTTGTTCCATATATTTCCTTACTATATGTACACCTAGTGGCTAAAGCACTTGACTGCTAACCAGAAGGCTGGCGGTTCAAACCCACCAGCCACTCCTCGGAGGAAGGTTGGGCAATCCTACTTCCGTAGTGATACTGCCTCGGAAACCCAAGGAGGGGTCGCTATGAGTTGGGGCCGACTCAACAGCATATATCAACAACAACAACAAATATGTACACTAATGTAAGCTGCTTAAGTACAGACTTCAAATCTGAGAAGTCGTTCCATGTCAGTCCATATAGATCAGCCACATTATTTTGAAATGGTTGGTCAAATGATTCCAGTTGATAAATATTTAAGTTGCTTCCTTTTTGTTTTGTTTAACTGTGATAGTACTGCAGTGAGCATCCTTTACACACCTCTTTATATATTTGTGAAGTATTTTTCTAAGGTAAATAGACCTGCAGTTGCTGGTTTGAAAAATAGTGCGCTCAAATGAATAATGAAGGTGGACCTGAAATGGTTAGGATGGAGCCTTTTTAAATAATATGAACAAAGGGAGAAATTAAAAAGGAGACTAATTGAAAGCTCAAAATAGAAAAAAGCCAGTAACTGTTTTCATAGTTGTGTAATAAAGGAAATAATTCAAATCAAAGCAAAAAGTGAGACAGCATTTTCTTTTATATTGGGGAATAGTAGAAATACCAGCATTGGCTAAGGTGTACAGGAAATGGCTTTTTACATATCCAGCTTATTGGAGTGTAGAGTATTTCTAGAGGACAGTTTGGCAAAAATAACTTGTAGGATGTGTGTACCTTTTGACCCCAAAGTTGTTTCTAAGAATTTTCGTTCAGTGTTAACTAACAGTTCAATTGGCATATTTTCAAGTTACTTCCAAATTGGTTCTGCAAAAGATACAATAGATTTATTTTCTAACTTTTCTGTTACGGATATGCATCAAGTGGTTGTGTTAAGTTTTTAGGGGAAAGAGAAAACATACTGTTTTTCAAAGTTCCAAGGAGCTACTTCAGGTAAATGAAGATCTGGAAAGAATAAAGTAGATCTCTCTCTAAGCCTCTACCCAAAGAGTAGCTTGGGTTCTATTTGTATACAAAGAGTTTTAAAATCTCTAATATAAGCCAATGTGGTAATTTCCCAAGAAAGTATTTATATTGCTTTTTATACATTTTCTTAAAGATGCCCCTATAGTACTCTCAGATAGTGAAGAAGAAGAAATGATCATTTTAGAACCAGACAAGAATCTGAAGAAAATCAGGTAACAAATTTCTGGCTTATTTTTCAATGTATATACAAACATTTAGAGGCTTGCTAATAACTCTTTGGTTTTATTCTCTTCTACTAGAAACAAAAGGACATCCCTTTAATTATCATTAGAAACTCATATGTTCGTCTATGTTTTCTTCAATCTTAGATATATAAATATAGGACCTAATTCTATACTAAAATTGTTGGGATGCATCATAAAGTTACTGTATTTTACTCCTATATTTATGAATTTTATAGCTTACTGGAAGAAACAAGGCCTTCCATTTGTGATAAAAAATTTAACAGTCAGAATGCTGTGAGGCTGGTAAAACATTGGGTATTGATGCTAGTGTTCCACTTTCCACATGCTTGGAATCAGTTTCTTACATATACTAATACTGTTAATAAATTGTTAGTCAGTTTATTTTGCTTATTCACAGAATGCAGACCAGCATTGCAAAACAAGAAAAAGTACCAAGTAAAAAGCCAATGAAAAAGAGGAAAAAGAAGAGAGCTGTTAATTAAAGCTAGCATAGTTGTATATATACTATTAAAAATATATTTATTCAGTGTTAACAACTCTGGTTATTTTTTATTCAAAATCTGAAAATAAAATCTAGACTTTTGAAATGTATATTTTTTATATTATGCTTTAAAATAAAGCATCTGGAGAATTTCTTTGTTCATTTGCACAAACATTTCCCACCCCACCCATAATCTTCCTTTCGAATTTGTGGGTTATTCACCATTTTCCTCCTCATAACCTTAGGTTTTAGGTAACTGACCTAGGTAAATAAATTATAGAACTTGATGAGCACAAAGCAGTTTTCACAGGCTGTTGCAGGGTGTACATGGGATGAAAGCAGAGGTGATGGAAGCTCATCACAGTGCAGATAAACAAGGAGAGATTTATTTCACTTATGGTCACATTGGTTCATATGCCAAAGTCAGCACATTGGCTTGGTTAGGACAATGAGTGTCAGGACTTGAGGGTCTGTTTTCCTAAAATGGCTTTAATTTTAGAAGCCTCCTCACTTCCCATTTTGTAGTAACCTGAGGTAAGTTTTTTCAGAGAATCTTAAAATAGATTTTTAAAATCTCAATTTCAGTTTGACTTGCAAATCATCAAGTTTTCCAGATCAATTTATTAATTCTCATTATTCTGACAGCTGGCATCATTAATACTTTGTTTAATAAAACCACTTAAAATTAGCCAAACATCTAAGATAGTTACATGTACAAAAGATATACAAATTAAGACCATAAAAGGTAATAGATAGCATAATTTGTAATTGACAACTTCTGTATTCAGAAAATGATTGTAAAATTAAAACCTAAGATAAAAACTGTACACCATATACTTTGAGTGATTTACATCTTAGAAATCAAAGGCAGTCTCTTCACTTTTACACATTTAGTGTTTCTGGTGGGTTGAGGAGAGAAACACCATGATACCTATTTGAAAAAAAAAAAAAAAAAAAATCAGACTGCAGATCATGGAATAATATAAACAGAGTTCAAAAATGCTATATCTATCTGAGTAAATTAATGGCTATAGCCTGGACAATCTACTTCTGTAATGATACCGCCTCGGAAACCCAAGGAGGGGTCGCTTTGAGTCAGGTCTGACTCGACAGCACATAACAACAACATAGAATCACTGTGTGGTCCCTAGAACATGAATGCACAAACTGCCCCCCACCCAATGTAAGACAGAAAACAACAACCTTCTCAAAGCATGGCCACCTTAAGGAGACTAGAGCTAGTTTATCCTTTAAGTTTTCAGGTCATTTAGATTAGCAAGCTTGAATAAATACTCAATTCTTACTTTGAATTTTTGTACTTTTCTCTTATTGACTGTTGTGCATGCTGTGGTGCTCTGAGGTAGGTCTGGTGAAGGTCCATGAGACAAGGCTTAAGACTTTCCAGGGTATATCCAGTCTTTCGTGCTAATGACTCAGGCTAGAGAATGGGGTAGAGAACCATGAGTTTTGTTTCTAGTAACAGACAATACAGTAAGTTAACAGATCACTTGAAAAGCTTGTGTGTCAAAATTTCAGTACTAATCTCTAACACCTCTAACATCTTCCTGTTCCCTCAGGCCAGTATTCCATCCCATTTGTGCTGATTTGTATTACTTTCTCTGACAGCAGCAGGTCATAAGGCCCGAATTCTTTAAGCACAGCTTTCAAATCCCAAGTTATCACTGAACTTTCTACCTAACAAATGAAAGATGTTATTCAACATGTAAGATGCTTGAACAATGTATATATTTGCAATTATTCCAGGTCTGTAAATCTAGACAACAATCAGCCAGTTCTGTATCAATTATTTAACTTACCTGGCACAAGGTACTCAACTCTGACTTATTATGACTCCATGTGTCAGAGTAAAATTGTGCTCCAAAGGGTTTTCACTGGCTGATGCTTCAGAAGGAGACCATCAGGACTTTATTCCTAGGTACCTCTGGGTAGACTTAAACTTCCCATTTTTAGTGGTCAAATGCATTACCACCACGCCAAGCCTCCACTCACAAGGGAGATGTATGAAAACAAAGTAATACATACCCAGCTTTGTCCTGTGACTGTGTAGAGTGCTATATGAAAGGCTGCTCCAGCAATAACTGATGGCAAATACTTTAGGTATGGGTCCGCATCTATCAAACTTAACTCTCCCAAAAACTGGAATAAAAAATACCCTTAATGACCACAAAAGCTCTGAAAGTTTAAATACTCATTTTCAGACCATTTTTAGCAACCATAAAAAAAAAAATACCTTTATCTTAAAATATTTATCTTAGTGGTTTGCTTCATTCTTTTTTTTTAAAGTAACAGTTATAAAGCAACTCATCTGGCTACTACCTCTAAAACTTCAAAGTTGACACCACGCTTCTTACTGCTTTCCCTGATATACATTATCTTTTGCCATTGGTAAGCTTTCTTACCACTGGAATCTGTTCCTGGAATACTAAATTATTTTGACCAAAGCTATGTAGAAGCTAGGGCTTGCCCCTAATTGTGACCTGAGTCTCCATTCAGCAAAATGAAAGGAACTTACCATTGCTAGACTTTCAACTTTGCAGTTTGCAGGCTGTTGGTGGAGAAAGTATTGGGTAAGAAACTGATTAACTGTTGGTGCTGCTAAGTCAAAAGCAAGGACTTTCAAGACTAGATGCTCCATTCTCAGAACTTGTTTCTTGGTATAGGTGTCATCTGTAATGTACACAAATTCTGCTACTTCTGGAGGATATATTTCTTCAAACTTTCTACAATGAAAAAAGTTTCAAGTAGTCAGTCCTAAAGAGAGGCAAGCTTGCTAATCCCAATTCTGAAATTACGTCAGCAAAACATAAGGAATTATTCCAACACCCACACTTCCTACCCACTGCCTATTTCCATTGGTACTTGCCCATCATTTCTAGATTGGGCAGCCAATTGCTAACCCTGAGGCACAAGCCTCATAATAAAGGACCTTTGAGATTCGGAAAGGAAATAACTGAGAGGCACGAGATTTCCCAAGATAACAATAATGCCAAGTAGCTGAAAATTTAGGAACTAAAGTCTTACATTAAATTATAATTTTAAAATTATAAAAATTTATAATTTGTATTAGAAAATTACATCTTAATGGGTAGAAGATTAGCCTTTGCTTATATGCCAGAAGGGAGCCGTGATAGCAGCAGGGGTTAAGTGTTCAACTGCTAACCTGAAAGGCCAGCATTTTGAACCTCCCAGCCACTTTTCACTGGGCACAAGTTGTGGCAGTCTGCTTCCATAAATATGTACAGTCTTGGAATACTTACGGGGTAGTTCTACTCTGTCCTATAGGGTAGCTGAGTTGGCAATGACTTGATAGCAGTGGGTTTGGTTTTGGCTTTATATGCCAGAAAGCACTCTTACTATGAAAGAGAACCACATTTTAAAACTGTGGGGCAGTTCTACACTTTCATATATAGGCATACCTTGTTTGACTGTGCATTGCTTCACTGAGCTTCACAGATAACTGTTTCTGTTTTTTAACAAACTGAAGGTTTGTGGTAATCCTGCATTGAGCACGTCTATCGGCACCATTTTTCCAATAGCATGTGCTTACTTCCTGTGTCTGTCACATCTTAGCAAGTCTCAATATTTCAAAATCTTCCTAAGGCTAATGCACATATACTAGACTACAGTATAGTATAAACATAACTTTTATATGCACTGGAAAACCAAAACAATTTGTGTGGTTCACTTTATTGTGATACTCAGTTTATTGCGGTAGTCTGGAACAGATCCACGCTATCTCTAAGATATGCCTCATTAGGGTTGCTGTGAGTAGGAATCAAGTTGACAGCCCAAAAAACAATCTAGGCCTAGTGTACTCAAATTCTCCATGTTCAAGAAGGTACCTAAAATACACATCTAGGAAAATTAATGTTCTAAATTAGAATCTAAGTTTTACTTCTTCCCTTTTCTCATCATGGCACAACTAGTCACTGACTCTGCCTTATGTAGTATGTTAGAATGCCACACTGTTAAAATCTTAATTTTTTTCCCTACAGAGAGAAACCAATCACTTTTATTCCTACAGAACAAGTTGGACTTACGAGGCTAATAGCATAGCAGCAGTGCCCACAAGCTGAAGTTTTCCTCTCAATACAGACATCGATGAAAGGAACCTATCGATGTAGTTCACAGCCAAGTACAGGGTCTCATTCTGTAGTTTATATTCTTCTCCTACTTCAACTAACCAGTCCACAAGGATAGCCCTCATACTGTTAGTGATGTCTGGTTGTTTCTTCATGTAACCCACTTTAGGCTTACATTTTACCTGTTGAGAAAAGTTACTTCATATAGTGTTAAAATTACAATTAGATTTTTCTACAGTTAACAAAGACGCTATGTGTTAGGAACATAAATAGGCCTTAAGTTAAAAAATTAAATACTATCTTCTCAATTTCATTTAGCCACACTGAATGAGTAACAGTATACAAACTGAATCCTGAGAGCTTTTACCTCCATTTCCCTAAGGTATGTGTGAATGTCTTCATGGTAGTCAGGTACTTCATTAACACTCACTGGTTTTTCATCTTCTAGTATAATTGACATATCCATAGTATGTGGAGACTCTGGATGAATTCAAAAGATACAATTAAGTTAACTGTTTAATTTTCTATTTAATAGGTGACTGACTCCCTTTGTCAAGAATGCTATGTTATCAAAGCATTTATTTCAGCCTAGTTCATGACAAAAGTACATGGACTTGCCCCAAGAAAGACTGCAGACCCCAGAATTTGATACATTCAAAATACAATTAGGAAATAACTAGAAGCAAGACTAAATGGTTTTCATTAACAAGTATATTAAAGAGGAAATTAGTCTTTTTCATGGGCAGTTCAAACAGGTAGATTAACACCGCAATCAACAAATGATTAATGTTTTTGTAATTTAAATTACCTTTTTTCGGCAAAGAATATCACCCATTAATCTAAGGTAAAAAGTTGTTACAGACTTTAAATAAAAATACCCAAATTATTTCCAAAGGACTTTTCTGATCAACAGAAATATAGCTAAAACAAGATTGTATTCAATGAGCTAACCAGTAACTCAGTAACCTTATAAGAAAGAAACAGTACAAACTGTAGACAGAGCTGTCTACTAAAGCTACTCCATTTTGTATGTGGGCAAGTGCAAACAGCCATGGTACAACAACTGACAAGAGGAAGACAATGTCCCTTTCTGGTATCAGATGATTCTTAGACTTACGTTTCAGAAATGAAATTTTAAAGCTATGAGTTGTTAGACATCACAGTATTTAACATTGCACTCTCAGGTAGTACTCTCTTAAATGGTATACATCTGAAATCTATTTTTCTAACCAAACATTTGCAGGGTCAGATTAAAATATGTGACTGAGATCTCATTAAATTGATTCGATTGGTAGTGTACTGGAAGGAACACGCAATTAGGATTGGGTGCTTTTGTAGGTCATGTATTAGTTATGAAATTAGGGACAAGCCACACCCTTTCTAAGCCTGTTAACATTAAACCTAACTCATTATGTGTAATGATTAGGTAAATATGTAGTCTATTTAATAATCATAATTACCTTGATTCATACAGATTTTCCTTAAAACTTACCAAAACTACCATCCATTGGATAATCAAGAGATACCAGTGGTTTTCTTGGTCCAGGTAAAGTAACAGCTGAATTAAAAGCCAGGGCATCAGCATGCTCAGTTTTTTTAGATTCAATTGGTCTTTTTTGAGTCTTTTCTTCTGCTTCATCCACATGAATGGTGAATGCAGGCTGTTTACTGTTTGCTTTCCAAGGAGGAACAGTGACATGCTCATCATTTACAGGAATATCCTTAAGAGGTGCAACCTAGAAAGAAATTAATAACTGTCCTTGAGGCTGTTAAACAGCTTTGCCTTCTTCCCCTTAAGCGTCACAGCATTTGTTTTTACTCCCAAATGTGGTGATGGTTAGGCGCCATTGAGTCGGTTTTGACTCATATCCACCCTGTGTACAACAGCAAGAAACACAGCCGAGTCCTGTAACATCCTCAGAATCATTGCCATGCTTGAGCCCATGTTCGCAGCCACTTTGTCAGTCCATCTCATTGAGGCTCTTCCCCTTCTTCTCTAACTCCCTACCTAGGATGATATCCTTCTCCAAGGACTGGTCCCTTCTGACAATTACTCCCAAACGTTTATTCCCAAATATCTACCAAGAAAATTAGGGCAAAGACCAGACCAGAATAGTTTGAGTAGTAAGAGAGGAAAAGAAAAATTTGTCCCCAGCAAAGAATTGGTAATAGGGTGGGGCAACAGAGCACATCTGGCTAAAATGGGGGAATTTACCAAAAGTAAAGTATTTTCCTTGTACCCTTTAATAAAGCAGAAGCATTCTCTTAACCAGATGGAAAGGGGGAAGCGGGACCCGGTCCCTTCGTCCTACAGAAGAGAGCAATGTCCGGGGTGAAACAGAAGAGCGAAAGCGCGAAGCCGGGCAAAGACGACATTCTTCTTGCAGGGCTTGGTTTGGCCCCAGTATCTATAAAGATGCCCCCAAAAGAGATTAGGCAGGCAGCACACGCACAGTGCTGGCAGAGGTCGTATGCTTAAAAGGAATGAGAGAACCGACCACCGTGTGACATCCCACAAGCCGGGAAATTTGAGACCAAGCGGAATGCAGCCTCGCGTCCCGCTAAAAAGCCCAGAGAATGCTTTCTCGTCATCCTTCTATGCCTGCTAATCCCATTCGCGACTCTGGCCTGGAGCACGCTCCTACAGATCCCTCGCATGTCCTTTCTTACCCGTCGCGTCTTGGGCCTCTGCTGCGGCGCAGGACCCCGCGAATTCCCCGACTTCAGTACCGCCAGCCCAGCCCTAGTCCGGGGCTGCTGGGCTGGCGCCGCCTTCTCGGGGTTGATGTTTTCCTGGTCCTCTTGGAGTGCAGTCTGCTGCAATGTTAGCGCCGAACTCGCCTCGTGGGCCGCGGGCGCTGGTGCAGAGTTGCCTAACATTACTGCTCCCGGGGGCAGGCGGAGGGATCAGCCTGCGGCGCCAAGCAGCGTGCACTCTGCTCGCCGACTGGCCGCGCAGACTCAGCCAAAGAACTCAGTAGCCGCAGCCGCCTGCCTGCCGCAGCCAGGGCCAGCCTGCCCACCTGCCCGCTCACCCGGTCGGGGCTCTGCTGGCCGGAGGAGGATGCGAAAGGTGCGGGTAGGGACTGTCGGGCTTGGAGAACCAAGAACCCAAGACGCCTCCGAGATAAAGCGAACAGCCCGCCGGAGTGGCTGCTGTTCTTGCAGTTCAAGTATCCCGCGACTATTGAAATGGACCAATGAGAGCCACAGGGGCCCTTGACGTCATTCGAAGCGACTTAGTCGCAGATCAGCGTAGGCGGCCATGAAGGCAAGGGAGCCGGGGTGGAGCGGAGTAAAGTCGAATGACGGCGGGAGGAAAAACGCCTGCGCTGGGAAGGCGGGAGAGGGTGAGGCCTGAGCTTCTGGTGACTTTAAACTGGACCACCAGGAAGTCCCTGCACTTAAAGCTGTATGTACATTTCAGAATAAACTGAATTAAACTTTAACAATGATTAGTGGGCCGCCCAGCCTTTAGTCTTGGGACATTCAGTTAACGTGACTTGTTCCCCAAGGTTCACAATTTGATTGGCCACTTACTGGCCTGGTAGTCTTGGTCAAATTATTCAGTGTCTTCAGTCTCAGTTTTCTTATATATTAATTACAATAATACTTACACGACATATGATTGTCGTTAGGATTAAATGAAAGAATGTGCATAATCATTTAACATTGTTCACATAGTACTACGCTAGTGGCAGCCTATAATGTCATTTCTGGATGTGTTTTTCACAGTAGGCAGATTGTATCATTATGCTTTTTAATTTTTCCAATGAAAATGCAATGTAAGGTGATCCTAAACTACTGATATAGATAATAAATAATAATGTACTACAAGAAATTCAACCAAACCAATTTTTTTCCACTTTTCCCCAACCAGTGGCCTTTTATTTATATAAGCAGCCAACAAAAAACAATGAAATTCTGGTGATCTAGATACAGACATGTTCCATTTAGAAATGAAGGCTGTCTAAATATAGTACAAACAATATGACATTATTAAAACTTTTAGCTATAATATGTACCTTTAACAAATTCTCATATTTACTATATAACAAGACTTCCACATAACAAATATTATGGTATAAAATTCAGAAGCATTATTGTTTTTCTAACAAATTCTAAAAGGAGTCTGTCCTTCTTGGAAACAGTTTTTTTTTTTTTTTTTTTTTAATTATAGTCTTTGTCATTTTAAAGCAAGCAGTTAAATACAATAAAACCAAACCAAACCCACTGCCATCAAGTGAATTCCATTTCATAGTAACAATATTCCCCTGAAAAATGAGTAAATTTACATGAAGGTTAATGAACAAAAAAAATCTGTGTTCTTAAAATCTGTTTTCCTTCATATATGAGTAAAAGGAAATTAGTGATTCTAGTAGGAGCTCTGGTAGCATAGTGCCTAAGGTATTTGACTGCTAACCAGAAGGCTGGCGCTTCAAACCCACCAGCCACTCTGCAGAAGGAAGACTGAGCAATCTACTTCTGTAGAGCTATTGCCTCAGAAACCCAAGGAGGGGTTGCTATGAGTTGAGATCGACTCAATGGCAGTGAGTTTAATGTAGGAAAATCTAAGAAGCCATCACTATTTTTGTGCTCCTCTTGTGTAACAACTTGTATAGCCTGACTGCTTATAGTGCTAGTAGTTAAGATCCCTCTCATCCTGTGTATTGTGCATTTCACAAGCTGCAGCATGGACCACAAAATGTTACTAAGCAAGAGAGAAATCACTACAAATCAATTTCAGCTCCTACAAAAAATAGGTTATTTTCACTTGTTGACAGTATGCATAGTAACTGGGATACAGGTACCAGAAACTGGGTTCTGGTCCCAGCTGTATAAATTAATAGTATATTCTCTTAACCTAATGTCACTTAACTTTACTGTTAACAGTGAAATGTGGTTTTCTTACATACTTTAACTTACAGAATTGTTAAGATCAAATGAGGTAATGTATATAAACACATTCTGAAACCTGTAAAGCAGTTTACACATATATGTGTAGATGTGTAGCTAATAAAACATCTGAGTGTATTTTTAATTTTCCATGTATTTCTCAATTTAAAACTTAAAACATCTAATTGCCAAAAATTCATTAAAAGCCCTTGTTACTTATTCTCTATATAGATCATATATATATATATATATATATATATATATAATCTTTTATTGCCTTTTTGGTGAAAGGTTACATAACAAGTTAGGCTCTCCATTTGACATTTTATGCACAAATATTCAGTGACATTAGCTACATTTATCACAGTGTGTCAATATTTTCTTTAATTGTGTTGTTTGTTCCCATTCCAGTACTCTATAATTTCTCTGCCCCCTTATCTTTTCATCTTTGCTTTTGAGTAAGTGTTGACCTTTTGGTCTCACACTGATGGTTTTTAAGTACAGCACTTATCTTACAGGTAATAGTCTTTATTTGGTGTGCCACTCTGCTATTTTGGCAAAGGGTGATCTCAGGGAATAGGCTAGGTTCCAGGTTTAAAGAGTGTTTTGGGGAGACAATCTCAGGGAACCTCAGTTCTAAACTGTTCCAGTTTGTCTGGCTTTTTTCTTTCTTTCTTTTTTTTTTTGGTCCCCTAATAAGAATTTGCTCCATATTTTTTGCCATTCTCTCTGGGGCAATCTATTGTGACTGGTAAGAAAAGTCATCTATTCATATTTTAAATAAAAAAATTGTTTATTTTTAAAATTACCTCTCTCAAAGGATTTAGAAGCATTACTTGAAGTCATATCTGAAATATTTTTAGATGATACTAAAAAACATTTGAAGTAAAAGTATATACAGTGTTTTAAACAGACCACTTCTTTGGGACTTTACGTTGATTGTATTTTCATGCAGCATCAAAAAAAGCAATCAGTGCATTTTGGTCATAACTGTCCAGAATCTCCAGTAGAAGAGGTACTTTGGTTTTCACATTGGTGCCTTTGAACTTGAACTTATCTATGAAAAGATCGGTGATCATTCCTAGAAAGAGCAATGTTAATTTCTGTCATTGATTAGATAGTTCTTTTAATGAAACAATTTAATGAAACTGAGTGCTTGAGAATCTAGTGCTTAGTACATGTAATTCCATTTTTTAACGTACACAAAGCTTTTTAGAAGGCTTGTTGCTTATGAAAATATATAAGCATATAAATATAAAAGTATTTTGGAGAGATTTTAAGGCAGTTTTCATGATATAAATCATTTAGCTAATAAACTTCTTTACCATAGCTAGTTAAAAGCTATTAATTTGAGGCAAATGCTAGCAGTTTTTGAACTGTTACTAGTATAGAAAGAAAAGTGGCTTATTTTCCCCACGAAGCAGACCATTTTGACACAGTAGGCAGATACTGCTCTTAACAGCTTTATCTGAATTAAAACTTTCCACTACTCTGTTGACCATTCTTGAATTTTTTACTTAAAGGCAAATAGTCCTTGGTTCAAGGGTCTGAGCAAATTATTTCACCTTTGAGTTTTTCATCTGTAAAATGGGAATAATTCAAGCTGTCAATTACATATAAAAAATGCTTGATGCTAGATGTGTTTCAGAATTTTTCATATTTTAGAAAGATAATAAAAGGCATATACCATATATGACATAATACCACAGAGTACTATGACTGAATGGCAGCATCCAAAAACAAAACAGTAATATTTCTGTAGCAACATACATGGATGAATATTCACACCAAGTAGGTTACAGACTAAATTGTGTCTGTCTAGTAAATGTGTGATATTTGATATCATGACAGAATTGTGCAAGACCAATGATTTTTAAATTACATGTACTTTTTTTAGACAACATGAACAACATCTATGCACATGGAGCTTGCCAGATGGAGTACACAGGAATCAAATCAACTACATCTGTAGAAAGAAATGATGGAGAAACTCAGTACCATCACTCAGAACAAGACCAGGGGCGACTATGGAAGAGACCATCAGTTGCTCACATGCAAGGTTACACTGTAGCTGAAGAAAATTAAAACAAGTCTGCAAGAGCCAAAATATGACTGTGGTAGTTAAATTTGTACGTCACCTTGGCTGGGCTTGGTTGAATGGCTGGGCAGCTGGTGGTAGTTATTCCCCGTGATGAGACTGGAAATCAACTCCATGGAGGGATCTACCACAAGCAGCTGAGTAGCTGCTTTAGGGATATCGTCTGCTTCCTGTATATAAGCAGCAGCTTTGGGAATGGTCTCTACCTTATAGCACGCATGAACCCTGCACGTAGCCGTGCCATTGTTCAGCAGCCTACCATGCTCTTCTGACCTTGGACTTAAATTAATGGCCTGTCATGTGGTTTGGTAACATTGGAAGTGTGCCTTTTTACTTATCAACCTTGGGCTTCTCAGCCTCAGCAACAAGCAGCTGTCTGAATGAAGAAACGCTTCTAGTTCCAGTGGGCCGGGAGCAGGAGGCAGAGCTGGGGCCTCAAGGTTGAGGGGCTTTCACCCAGCCCCTAGAGCCTGGCACTTTGAACTTGGTCTTAAAGCCTCCAAACTGTAAGAGAATAAACTCCTGTTTGTTAAGGCCATCCCATTTGTAGTATATTCCTGTCAGAGTGGCACTAGGTAACCAGAACAACGACCTTGAGTATATTCCACCTGAACTGAGAAACCATCTGAAAAATACATCTGACACACTGAACACCAGTGACTGAAAACCACACATCAAGGACATCATACATGAAGAAAGCAAAACATCATTATACAGGAAAAGAAGAAAAGACCAAAATGGATGTCAGAAGTGATTATGGAAATTGTTCTTGAACAGAAAATAGGTAAACCAAATGCAAGAAATGATTAAATAAAAGTGCTACACAGAAGATTTCAAAAGGCAGGCTGAGAAGTCAAAGTATGATAATGAAATGTGCAAAGACCTGAAGTTAGAAAATCAAAAGGGAAGAACATGCTCAGAATTTTTCAAACTGAAAGAACTGAAGAAAAAAATTCAGGCCTTGAGTTGCAATACTGAAGAATTCTATGTAGGAAGCTTCAAAAGAAGGTGGAAGGAATATAGAGAGAAACTGTACCAAAAAGAACTGATGTTCAGCTATATCACAAGTTGGCTTATAATCAAGGACTGATGGTACTGAAGGAATAAATCCAAGCTGAACTGAAGGAACTGGCAGAAAACAAGGCTTCAGGAATTGACAGAATACCCACTGAAATATTTTCAACAAGGGGATAGATAATGCA